ATGTACACCTGTCTCTTATACACATCTAGATGTGTATAAGAGACAGGTGCCCACCCGCTCGTTCGCATGAGAGAGAGAGAGAGAGAGAGAGAGAGAGAGAGAGAGAGAGAGAGAGAGAGAGAGAGAGAGAGAGAGAGAGACCCCAATCTAACTAATTAGGCCGCCCCCCAACAGGATCAAGTGTAGTATCTGTTCCAATGAGTTTCATTTCTGTTCCGATGAGTTCCATTGGGACCACTAAAATAAAATAAAATGGAAAAACCACATGTGCTTGGCTGCAAGAGAGAGGGACACTCCAAACTAACCAACTACGCCCCCGCCCACCCCCCCAACCGCCCCCTCCAACAACACGATGTGGTATCTGTTCCCCCCTCGCGAACCCATAACTCCCGTGTAAATTTGAAAAGCTAAAATAAACCAGCAAGAAAAGACAGTTTTTCCAAGGCTTTCTGACCTCCAGCAGCAATGCATCGACTGAGTCAACAGGAGTACACAGGTGAGCCAAATCCCGTCCGGCCAAATCAACCCTTTCACGTTTTTGCCTTTTGCAACAGGTACCCTTGTGATATCATAGAATTGAGTGGTGAAGTCCTTGCAGCCTGCACTAATGAACCGGGTATCTCGATTGCTCACAAGAGTTTTCAAGAGGACCAAATTGCAGAATATATTTCTGATCCAATTCACGAATGACCAGATTAGATGGTGCATGAGGTGGCAAAGGAATCAGATTCGGAAATTTGTAGGAGCAGTCGATGATCATCATGGCTTGCGAATTCCCCCTCATAGTTATCTTTCCCATGCCCAGCAGGCCAAAGGGTTTTTGCCTAGGGACCTTAATGCGTTGACATACTTCACATTCAGCCTCAACTTTCTGAGGAGATCCTTTCATGTCAGGCCAATCAAACTGCTGCAGCAGGCTTCCATACGTCCTTTGCAAGCCAAATTGTCCACTCCGACCATGCTTCATATCCAAGAAGTGAGTTTAGAGAGGCTCATGGTTGGGTACACACAACCTTTTATACTTTCCATAACGCCCAACAGCAGACCCTCACACTCTTGAAAATCAGGCTCACTGCTGGGGTCATCCTTGAGCTGCTGAAGGACTGAACCATAGTCCGGATCCTTGGCCATGTGCTCAACCAGATCCTCCTTCAGCATATGTTGGAGGTCATAGGATTTGGCAAGGCAAGTCACATACTTAGGGTGGCAAGACAAAGCATCTGCAACTCGATTGTAACAGCCTTTCTTGTGTATCCGTTCAAAACTAGGCGATTTGCCCACCCAGCCAGGCATGCCCGGACCGGCATAGGGCCCAGGGTTCGCCTGGGTAACCCAGGCAGGCCAGAAAGTGGCCTGATTTTTCTTTACTTCTGTTTTGGAGGACATGGCCATTCTGCTCTCGTTGAGAGCATGCAGAACCCGTTTTCAAACTGGAAAACAGTGACTGCCCTTCCCGGAGGGGTGCAGGGTTGGCAGCACTGCATGTGGGAGGAGGAAGGAGATAGCAACAGGAGGTTGAAGGAGACAGCGCGAGGGGAGCAAAGAGATGGCAGGAGGAGGGGAATGGAGGATGAGATAGTGGGGGGGTTCGGACATGCCTAAACGGCCGTGGAACCATTACAAAAAAAAAAACACGTGGCGAGAGGGGGAGAAGGATTGTGAGAGGAGTAGGCGATGAGAAAGGCGGTGTGTGGCATGCGCCAAGCATCTCTCTCTCTTGCTCTCTCTCTCTCTCTCTAAAACTGGAGAAGAAGAAGAAGAAGAGGGGGAGGAAGTGGAAAAAAAGGTGGGCCTGTGCCACGGGCCAAGTCTGTCTGTCTGTCTGTCTGTGTCCCTGTCTGTCCCTCTCTCTCTCTATTAACTGTAGAAGAAGAATTACAGGGGGAGGAAGAGGAAAAAATGTGGTGGGCGCGTGCCAAGTGGCACATGCCGGCTCTCTCGCTTCTGTGGCTAGAGAAGAAGAAGAAGAAGAAGAAGAAGAAGAAGAAGAAGAAAAAGAAGAAAAAGAAGAGGAGGAGGAAGAAGAAGAAGACATTTACCTTTGTGGGGGGTGATGGTGTGCACTTTGCACAGAGGAGTCGGAGGGGGATGGCGATGAGGTTGACGCAGCTCAGGTGACGGAGGGCACACACTGCAAAGCGGGGGTACCGAGGTCGCACAATTCGTCGATGATGGCGACTCCAAAGTGAGGAAGGGGTGGTGGAGCGGGTGGGTCAAAGTTTTTTTTTTTTTTAAGGACAAATGCTCCGGTCTATTTGTGGGGACCAGCCTGTGCTGGGAACCGCGCCCGGTGTCCCATATAGAGTTACACAAGTCATTTGAGATACTTGGGCCATTACCCGGCTTCGGCTGAGAATCAATCTGAGAACTATTGAAGAAATTCAAGAGAATTAAAGGAGAGGTTGGAAAACTATGAATGACTACTGACCTCTTTTCGAATGCTTAGAACCCCTAGACTCCCAAACAAAACTCTCTAAAAGTGTCCAACACTGTCTTATTCCCTGTCGAGCTCTCCCAGGCCTCACACCCCCACCCGGCTAGGTTACAGAGCAACACGACTCGCCCCAGCTCCGGCCAGCGTCGTCCCAACAGCTACCCTTGGTTGTCCCTTGGAATGCCCACCCCAAAGCATCCCCAGATCTCTCTACCAGGCCTCACGCTCCTGCAATCAGCAGGTTATAGGGCAACACCCCAGCACCGGCCAGCGTCGTTCTGGCATCGAACAACCGCTGATCCGTGAATGTAACAGTATCAAACAGCCTAAAGGGAGTTGCTAGAAGTCCCCAGAATCCTAAGACATTCTCTTTTTCTTTCTTTTTTTTTACCAATATCAATGCTATTTGAGATAAATTTGGGAGACACACACACACACACACCCAAAAAAACAAAACAAAAAAAAAACCAAAAAAAGAAAAACAGAACGACCTGTCAGTTCGCTGTGAGAGAGACGAGGACATATTAGGGGCGCAGCTCTTTGGGAACGCGATGGAGCTGGCGGGGGAGTTGCAACATGATAGGGATCTTTTCTACACAGAAGACGGCGTCTCGTATGCAGAGGATGGTGAGCTTGACGACGAGGACGCGGTCAGTTACTATGATAACCTTTGTGCAGGGTGTGTGTATTGGGAAGTAGATAGTCAAAGGGGCCGTGAAGGGGATGTGAGGGACAGCTATGAATATGAGGGGAGGGATGGCGAATGGTGGGTGAACCTGATGGCGCTCTCTTCTCAGATCGGTGCTGGGAATACTGACGTTGATGGTGTCACTCGTCTGCGGCAGCGTCATGGAGATCAGGCGGGTGAGTGGGAGGTGGCGCAAGGGTTCATGGAAGAGGTGGTAGTTGTGGTGGAGGAGAGGCAAGGAATGGGCGAGATCGGAGAGAAGGGTTGGAAGGTGGACAACAACAACAACAACAACAACAACGACGGTGAGCTGGGATTGGGCGAAATTGGCGACGAGGGCGAGAAGGGCAACAACGACAACAACAACGACGGTGAGCTGGGATTGGGCAAAATTGGCGACGAGGGCGAGAAGGGCGATGGACATGAGGGGAGGGCTGGCGAACGGTGGTAGAACTTGATGGCGCTCTCTTCTCAGGTCGGCGCCGAGAATGCTGACGTCGACGGTGTCACTTATCTGCGGCAGCGTAATGGAGAGCAGGCGGGGGAGTGGGAGGTGGCTTAGGGGTTCATGGAAGAGGTGATGCTTGTGGTGGAGGAGAGGCAAGGAATGAGCAAGATCGGAGAGAAGGGTTGGAAGGTGGACAACAACAACAACAACACCAACAACAACAACAACAACGACGACGACGACAACGACGATGGTGAGCTGGGATTGGCCGAAATTGGCGACGAGGGCGAGAAGGATGATAACAACAACAACAACAACAACAACAACAACAACAACAACAATGACAACAACAACAACAACAACAACAACAACAACAACAACAACAACAACGGTAACAACAACAACGGCGGCAACAACAACGAGATGGAGGAGATGGGAGAGAACAACAACAACAACAACGACGGCGTAAATAACAACAACGACAACAACAATAACAGCAACAAGATCAACAATACTCATGACGATGTCAGCGATGACAACCACGGGAGCAGCAGGGGGAGTGGGAGGTGGCGCAGGGGTTCATGGAAGAGGTGATGCTTGTGGTGGAGGAGAGGCAAGGAATGGGCGAGATCGGAGAGAAGGGTTGGAAGGTGGACAACAACAACAACAACAACAACAACAACAACAGCAACGACGACGGTGAGCTGGGATTGGCCGAAATTGGCGACGAGGGCGAGAAGGATGATAACAACAACAACAACAACAACAACAACAACAACAACAACAACAACGGTAACAACAACAACGGCAGCGACAACAAAGAGATGGAGGAGATGGGAGAGAACAACAACAACAACAACAATGACGGCGTAAATGACAACAACGACAACAACAATAACAGCAACAAGATCAACAATAATCATGACGATGTCGGTGACGACAACCACGGGAGCAGAAGGGCAGAGAGGGGTTGTTGTGCATCCAAGCCTTGTATCAGCAGCATGGTGGAGATGCCTCCATCCACGCTGTGGGGGGGGATTAGCAGCTTGTTGGGGCTGGTGAAGTGGGGCTTGTGTTTGAAGGTAAGACTTCTTGTTCCCCCCCACCCCTGCCCGGTGTTTTCTCAGGCGGATTCATGTCTCTCTCTCTGGCATCGGGTGGGGATAGGA